TTTTACAAGGACATCCTTGTTCGATTCAATGAAACGATGAACGGACAAAGTGTTCTGCATTTGACATTTTTACACCAATCTTGTTAGCTTTCTAGAGATTCTTTAATTAAATTTAAGAGTTCATTAAATTTTCTGTTATAAAAAGCCACTTAGCTGGGCATTTCAGATTACAGCACTTCCTCAACTGGAAATTGTGAATTATAAAAGATTCACTTAAAAAGAAGCTATCAAATCTAGCCTAAGCTCCTCAAAACTGATTTTCCAATCTGCTCGCCCCTCTCTCACCTGGACTTATTCGCGATCCCAATCCCAATCCCAATTCCGATCCCATTCCCGTTCCCAATCCCATTTAACATGCTCCAAACCGAGTTACGCCCTCCGGCAAATTGCGTGTGGCTTACATCAGTTGAATGATTGATGGATGGCCCAGACCAGTTTCTCTAAAAAGAGAGGGGTACGCAGACGGCAGAAATAACCAGCTGTTGCGAAAAAAAAGATGTGGCTCCTTTCACTTGGCCAAGCGGTGAAGAACAGCAGGCCTAATCTAGCTGATCGCCACTGATAACCAGCCATTGATACCCTTTTGCTCTCGTCCGGAACTCGGGAACTGGGGAACTCGGGACTCTTGGGCACCGCATGATATGATATGGCCGGCAGATAGCGGTGGCATTAGGCATTAGATAAGAAATCAGGCACTTATATACATATCCCATATGTATGGGCACAAAGGGCGGACGAGGGACGGTTATTTGTGGTTGCAACAGCAGCAACATCATCATCATCATCATCATACTTTTACAGTAGGTAGGAAGCATCCTCATTAATGGCTTAGCATTTCGAGGGTTGCCATTCCGGGGGTTGCACCACCAGATCGCAACTGCTCACCATTCAAATTGAGGGTAAGCAGGCGAAAGAGAGGAGCCAACCCGATCAAAAATCGATGCAATCGAATTAGCTATTACATTTGATATCAGTTCATTCCTGATCACCTAAAAAAAACTACTAAGTTACACACAAATGTGCTGAAACCTAAAACCTCGATTTATAAAAAGGTAATAACTTAGGATTTACTCATTACAAACTACAAATCCATTTCATTGCTATTAAATGCTCGTTTTTCCTCATCAACTAAAAATATATTTATAAAATTACACAATCATGTTATTAAACTTTTTCTCCCCATATATTATAACACTAGAAGTTATGATTCACTTTCTTCATTCCTTAAAAACCATTAAAAAACATGAAAAATAGTTGCAAATGCTCTTTTCACCTATTAACTATAAAACAAAAATCACACACATACGGACTTTAATTTTGGCAGACATTAAAGATAGTCTGCATTACACTTAATAATCATAAAACGCTGGCAGGACTTGTGGAAATAGCTATATCCGTTCGCAGTTAAGTGATCAAGGTGGTTGGCAAGGCAGCCAGGACCAGGACCTTTGTCCAGGGCTAATTGGTGGCACAATGAGCATTCCATCCACTCCAATCCACTTCAATTCAAAGCCCCCACTCCTTCAGTGTCTTCTCCGCCCAGAGACCACGAGCCAAGGATATCTGAATGCGAGGCTGTCAACTTCAAAAGAGCCTTTCAAATTGTATAGTGGGCAACACCTAACTACCTGATGGACCGGGATGATGGCCTTTAAAGAGCGCGTCTATAGCAGACAAATTGGCCATATCCCATATCCCATTTCCCATATCCCAAGTTCTATATCCCAAATACACACACACACACACACGTGCAGTCGCTGCCGGCCGCCTTTGATTTTCTAAGCGAATTGTTTCAAGAAAACCACCAGAGAACGCTGCCCGAGATTGAGGTTGAGCCACGTAGGTATATGGTTTATTTCATCCAAAGGACTCGTGTGCGAGTGTGTTCTTTGCGCCTCAATTAATTTGATTTGCGTCCGTGTTCGTGTCCGTGTCCGGAAATGGAACTCCACTTGAGTTTAGTTTTGTCAACCCGTTCCGTTCAGTTCAGTTCAGTTCCACTCCTCGGACACAATTTTTTTTTCGTACTTTTCGCTTCGTCTGCTGGGGATTGGGAATCGGAATCTGAATCTGTTGGCTGGGATGATGCTCGAGACCACTTGGATATGGTTGAATGGGCACAGAAGATGGCCAACTATGCTTTGAACTATCGGGGAAACTAATGGCAGCAGACATATAAGTGCCCCACCTCCCGACTTCACATCTTTCTCTTTTCCGACTGGCTAAAATTCAGCACACCGAGAAAAATATAATACATTTTGTAAAACGATTGTATTCTATGAGTATTTGCGCTATACATAAATACAGTCTTTTTAAAAATGCAATATTAAACTAGCATAAAAAATGGTTAAACTATTTAATGAACAAATTTAATTGCGTGTATTTCCTAAGCTATAAAATAAAATCTTTTTATTTATACCTAGTTAATGAATTATGTCCTTAACTAAAATGGGCTTTGTAAAAATATATATTTCAATAAAAGAACATGTAATTGTGAAGTATAAAATAAGATTTGATCAAATAAATACATCCTTTAACGGTTCAGAATAGCATTTTCTTGTTTTGTACATCTTTTCCATTCCTTGTAAGAGTCTATCCGATTTTATGAGATATTTCGCCCCTTTGTAGGGATATTTTCCACCAGAAATGAGAGGAGTTGGGGCTGCTAATTGGAGTAGAGAGTGTCCCAACTTGAGCTGCAACAATTAAACGCATTAGGCGACACCTTCCTGCCGCTTGCCGCTTGCAACCCACCCTCCGCCCGCAAGCCACCCCCTTTTTGACCCTTTTGGTGGTTCATTATGCCTTATTAGGGTGGCTCTTTGCGGCAACATGGCCGACTAACACGCACACACTCTCAACTGGAACACACACACACAATAGTACAAATGCACAATATGCAATATAAAATACCGAGTGCAAAGGGCGTTTAAAAACGCGCGCGTTTTCTGCCACCCGCTAAGTGCATTTCAATGTATGAAAAGCCGCTTCCGTTTCCGCAGCGCTTTGGGGCTCCTCCGTCCCCATTCCCCCCCAACTTAAATATATATTTATATATATATATATGTGTGCATATAGATGGCAGAACAAAGGTGGGCCACAATTATGGAATTGCGGGTTCTGAAGGCCTGCGACGACGACTTTCCGTAGTTGTTGTTTTGACACGCAGCCAGCGAGAGGCAGAAACAAAAACAAAAACAAAAATCACCCATAAAACCCAACGCCCACTGACCCCACCGACCGACCGCAAAAAGTGTTAAATTATAGACTTTAATAGCGCCCGGGTCCCCGGTATCCCATATATGATTATATGATTATAACGCTTTTGAGAGCGCCAACAGCTGGCGACACTCAAGGGTTGATGTTATTGCCGGTTCTGTCCAGAAACTATCAAAGTTAAACAGCATTATCATGGATATATGTGAGTAAATTACATATTGATTTATTTATCGGACGGGGTAGTGTCTTGCCACAAGAGTTTCTAAGAAAAGAGAACCACTTATAAAGAAAAATCACTTGAAACCCTATTGGAATATATCTTAAAAAAGATATAACAGTGTATTTTGTATTACTTTCACATATAGCCTAAGAATACCTAATACCTACAACATTCCTACGAGCTCATTATGCTAAATGTAATCACCCAATGCTAATACTTATAGCTCTCGACTTATTTCAAGTGAAATATATAGCTAAGAACCCCCGATTAAATAAATACCCCACCGATTGGGACACCGATTCCGATCCGGAATTGCTGGCCACCACACCACACGCAGCGTCGGCTTTTCGGCGTTTGAACTAAGCGAAATTAATGGCCAACACAGGCTACTTAGGCGGAGGCCCACGCACACGAGACACGGATTGTCCAATTGTCCGTCGATCGGGGGAGGGGATATATACGTCCCTGGGGGGGCATATATCTGTAGGTGGAGGAGGAGGAGTAGCCCTTATCCGCCGCTTGTTCGCTGTGCGATTTATGACTCGGCATGCAAAACGAGCCGAGATATAAAACAAAAAAAGAAATAAGGAGGCGGGGACATGACACAAAACTGCAGAGCCACATGGCGCCCGCCCAAGATCATAATGATCGTGGATCCGCCGGTGAAAGAGGGAGAAAGGGAGATAGGGAGGGTTTATATAGTCACAACGGGTGGGCCCCACCGTTCGATCAATAAAAATGAAAATTTGCCCAGCAGTTGATGAAATTTACGCGATCGGCGTCGGCACAACTACAAAGTCAAAAGGAAAAGATGTGCGCGCGCGCACTTCAGCGGCCTTCAAATGAAAAGTCCACCGACAATTTGCCTGGCGCCCCTCTTTAGCATCCAGAATCCCCGATTTCCGATCCTCAATCCCCGATCCCCGATCCCCAAGCTTATCCATCCGCTTCATGCGTGTGAGAAGTTTTAGATAAGCCCGAAAGAGGAGTACCATAGACTTCAAAGTGCAAAACCGAGAAAAGCGAATGAAAACGAGCCATCGGATGGGATGCAAATTCGCATTGATAAGCGAAAAAAGAAGAATTGGATGGGGTTTTCTGGCGGAGATGATTTTTGAAGTGCGGAGTGTTAGGCGCAGACCAAGATAAAGTTCGCTTTGATGTTGAATCGTGGTGTTTCTCATTTCTTTCAAGCTTCATTGCCTAATGAGTTAATTACTTTTTTTTTTTTTAACTTATCTCTGAATAATAACTCATAACTCATAACCGTAATTAAATTAAAAATGGTAAACATGTGATAAGCCTATGATATAATCCTACTATTTCCAATAGAATTTTTACAAAATTACAATGTCACTCTCACTTTTCTTACTCATTCATTCTTTTATCAGGAAAAATCACTCAAATTTGTATTGCAAGACTTCCAAACAAAGCTATCTACAATATTCCTGTTGAAACACTTTTCATACGCCTTGGTATCGTTGAGTTCTGTTTTTTGATTTTTTTTGTTGTGGGTGTGGTGTAGCTTAGATAACTAATGCGGTAAACAAAGAAGACGTACAGTACTTACAAATCCATGTTTATCACTAATATTGTTGGTCAATTTTAATTTGTGAAATGAAACAACTTTCTGCATCCATTGCTCACCCGTTGTGGGCGAATCTGGATGGATATACATGCGTTTTGGCATCTCGGGGTCCGCTTTCCCAGCCACCATCCAGCGACTGTAATTGCGATTGTATAAATAACGATTGAAGGATCGTCTGCCAGTGCAGAACATTTTTTAAAACTCACCTATTATGGAATTTATAACGATAATCGTCCGCCGCCACGATGTCCAGTAGCAAGATGTATTTAGCCTTGGCATCCAGTCCCGAAACACGAAATTTCATTTGCGGAAACATTTGTCTGAAACGAAGGAAGAGATGAGCGAAATGGGGATTAGAGATGGGTGTGCTACGTTTGGCATAGAGGGGTGTATGGTCATTTTCCCGGGCTAATCAAATAAAACATTAATCAGTGGGGCCTAAGACCACGTTCTGGTTCTCAGGGGCCCACCTTCGGGGCTAAGATCGGACGAAGATCATCGCTGCTGCGGCTGCTGCTGCCATGCCAGCTTAACCACAGTCGCAGTCGCACTCGCACAATCATCATCATCATCATTATCAGATTCGGACTACGACGAGTTGGCCAAAAGCAAACAAAACCCCAGACCAGACCAATCGGGCTATCAAGTGGCGCCAAGCCACAAATTGTTTCGGCTCGACTCCCCGAACTCCGACTCGGATTCAAATTGGCCTAAAAAGAGAGGCAAAGGCAACAGCAACAGCAACAGCAACGGCAAAGGCTGAGTTGGCCAGGTTGATTAGCCATGTTGGTGGCAATGTGCAAACTCGAAAATTACATGGCCCGGCCAAAAGGGGGAACACACGCAGGCGATTCCTCCGATGCGATGCGATGTCGTTGTCCCTCGGAACATCCCAACATCCCCACATCTCCACATCCCAATATCCCAACATCCGAGCAACCCAGCCCAGCCATCCACCCAAAAAGGAGCCCGGAGATGGACACAGAGGCGGATGCGGAGGCAGAGGCGTCCTCTTTGGCCAGAGGAGATCTCGCCCTGCACACACACGGGCATAAATATGAAAATTATAACTTTAAGTAGCAATCACTCAATCGCTGTTCGGGTTCAGGTTCAGCCAGGATGCACTGAGAAAATACTAAGTAGACTTTTTTTATTTATTTCCCATTCCTTAGGATTCCCTATTATTTATATAGTTTCCAAATGGATTGTTATTAGTAATTATATCAATTACACAATTTATTAAATTTAACCCTAAAATGTTCAGCATATTCTTTAGTTTTCCGTCTTCAAAAAATGTTTGGTGACATGTCCTTAGAACTGAATCTCCCTATAATTCCCAACTGATTTTTCAGGAAGCTTAAAAATCTTGGGTAATGCCTTAAATTATAAGATTTTCTACTCATTAGGAAGAAAACCTTTAAGAAGCTCAGTAATCCAATCATTGTAGACCCAAATATTTTTTGCAGTGTCCATCCGAAGCTACAGCTTCAGGTTGAGGTTGGGACTCTCGGAGCGAGAGCGCCTCATGAATCAAATTTAACGAACGTCTTGTTCATGTTCACAGATCATCATCAGCTGCGACTGCATTTTGATAAAAACCAACAAACACCGGGGATACATCGGGGATACACAGCGTGGAGGAGGAGGGCTAACAAGCTGACTGATGTCTGACTGACTGGACGGGCCTGAGCAGAACCCGATGGAGGAACCCCGAACCGAGGATGTTTCTATTTGGAGGAGAGCCACAGCACCCCCTTTTCCTGAGTGTGTGTGTGTGTGTGTGTCTGTGGGGGGAGGGGGGGATGGTCTGCCTGCCTTTTCGACTGCAAATTATTTTTTATTTGCCAGGAACGAAGCAGGCACGTCTGTCTGCCTTGCCTTGCTTTTGGTTTGGTCTCCTTTTTTTTTTCTCGCTGCCTGGGCTTTTGTTTTTGGCGAGAGAAGAGTGTGTGTGTGTGTGTGTGTTGTCTTAACTGAATAGCTCGTTAACATTATTGAGCACTTGGCGCCAGTTGTTGGCAGCTTGTTATGGCCAGAGACCAGAGACATGGCCCCAAGCGAGGCCGACTTTGGAGCCAGTTTCCTGGGCCCACACGCCGTATTTCTCAGCTTTTTTCTTTCTTTTTTCCTTGTTTTTTTTTTTTTTTGCTTTTTTTCCTTTTCTTCTTATTTTCCTTGGACTGCCAAAGCGCCTGGCTCTTGCTCGACAACAAAACGATTTGCTCTCGTTTGTGTTGGTTCCACAGACTTGTGGCCAAAAAGACCGAGACCGAGACCGATACCGAGATTCAGGTTCGTGCAAATCGTTACGTGTAAAACTTGCACCTTTTGACCAGAGCGCACCCAGCGTTCGCTGTTTGTTTTTGCCACACACATTTTAACGGCGGGGAGAGCCAGGTCCAGAGCCAGGTCCAAAAGCCAGAAACGGAGCCACCAGCACACGGCTAATTCAATTTCCCCCGGCCAAAAGTGTTGAAGGCAGTTGGCAACGAGGAAAACGAAGCAAGGCGAAGGAGCCCATGAGCCCATAATTAAGCTTAATTAAGGCTCAGTGCGTTCTCTGTATTTTCCCCTCCTTTCTTCATTCGGAGTGTGTTAAGGTGTCGCTCAGTTGTCCTTAGCCTCGTCAGGCCCACATAGGGGTTAATGGCTAATCAATTAGCCCGGTCCGAAAATAAAATGTTCAGCGATTGAGTTGTAATTGGGTTGGGCCCAGTGCAAAAAAACAAAAACAGGCTAAAGACCGAAATGCGGGTGAAGTAGGGGAAACAATGATAAAACTGAAAGTAATGTTAAGAAGACAAAATGGGGTCAACTAAATATTTCACCGTTACAAAAAAAAAACATTATAAATAATTGATTATATGTATACACCCTTGGAGTTTAAGGCAAACGAAATCAAAGAAAAACGCAAATCATTAAGAACACTTTGCCAGAAATGAAAAGCTTATCATATTCACAATCTCTCCGAATAAAACAATGACAATGTGTATTAATTGATAAGCATTATAGAGAATAGCAAACAACTAGCTAAGTGCATATCAAGCACACACTAAAAAACATAAAAATTTACACAAAAACCACACTTAATAATGTGTTTATTAACACTAGAATAAAACGTTTTCATGAATAAATAAATCAGTAGTTTTGAGAAAAAGATTCATTTTATTGCTGAGTTGGTTTTTGGTAAAAAAAAATGTTCAGTTTATAATTCAAAAATAAAATCTAAAAACAATGTATTCTTCTCAAATGTATTGTCTTAAGATCACATACACTGTAATTTTATAGGTGGAAGCCTCCCAGTTTCAAGTCAATCATCGTGAATTTGTTAGGTATTTCATTCTACTAAAAACCGATCCTTCGTCGGCACTTATCTAAATCTTGGCCACTGGCGGTGGCCATGTAATCGATTAATCGATCCCATCAGCGGATCCGCAGGTGACATCTGTGTATCCTGTGTCCTGTGTCCCGAGACCCTCACTCCAAGGACTAAACGGCGTCTATTAACGCACCTGTGCCGATTTGGAGAGGACAGGTGAGAGGTGAGGCCGAGCTGCCTTAGAAGCGTCAATGCATTATCTGATAGTCAATCAAACAGCAGCCCGAAACCCCGAAAAAAACGCAGGCAAAAGAGGCTGCAAATGTCAATGATGATGGAGGGGGACAAACAGAAGGAGGAACAAGCGGCAGACGCCGACAGAAAAATATAAATAAGAAAAAACCCACAGAGGTTGGCTTGCAAAACGCATTCGTGGGTATTTTTCTTCGTTTTTTTTTTTTTTTTGTTCTTCTTTTGTCAACAAGGCGCGGGGATTAAAGTAGCACCTGCAGTTGGCCCGAAGGGAACCGAAAATTGGTAGTAGTGCGGGGAAACCCTCGAGATATAGGGGCTGGCTGTGGGGATCCGTTGACAGTTTGGCTTTGTGACAACAAAATTGCTGTCGTCTTTTTTTGTTGTTGTCCGTCCCCCTCCTTAATCTTTGTCAACACATTGCCAATGGATTTCCGATAACGCCGAGGCCCAAAATGAAGAAGGGTGCATATTCAACATCATCTTACATCATTTGCCTAGAGAACATCTGTTTTTTCCGTCCGGTTGATTTATTTATTTGGCAACTTTTTGCATTGCATTTAATTTGAATTTTATTGAATGACAATTGCATGCAAATTGCTTGGGAAAAGGGCAGGTTTTTTTTTCTTCCATTTTTTCCATTTTACAGATGTACATCGTTTGGGTATTTGACAAATTTGTGAGCCCATCATCGGCTGACTGGAGTGGCAGACAGAACAAGGAGGACCAAAAGGCAGCTGCATCATAAACGTTAATTACCCACACGAAGGATCGGGGCAAATTAGTTAAACCAATAAACTGACAGGCCCAGAAACTGACTGACCAAGTGGCTGGCCGGCCATATATCAGGTCTATATAATAATAAAACAATTTATGAAGGCATAACCACGGCCCCAAGTCCTCGTAAACACGCTGCCCGTTTGTTTTAGCCTGTCAGTTAGTGGTAACGCCCACTCCCGTCTCGTTTTGGCCCGAAATGGATGGCCATGTCATTAAGATCCGTGGCCCGAAAACCCCGAAACAGGATCACGGGGAAGAGCAGCCGACTTAAGGCATTCGCGGGGATACAAATTCCACCACATATATACGAATATAACTAGAAAACTATCTTATCGATGGCCACCTGACCCTGAGCAGCATAAATCTGACGCAATGAATAAATCAAATGTGGGAAATCGGGTGTAATTACAATTTGATCGCTTCATTTTGGGAGAGCGTGAAACGAGCGATGCTAATGGTAATGTGCAGCCAAAACTAAACGAATTTGGAATGCCCTTAAAAGGGTATAAATATGTAGTGATCTTGAAATGAAGAGCAATGGGAGATGTTTCGGTTTAACTTATTTTGAAGCAAAGCTTTATCTGTTTGTAAAAGTTCTTAAGGAGATTAATCTTCATATTGTTTTCCAATTGTCAATTACTATTTTATAAACATTTGAATAATAATACCCCAAAAAAGGGTATAGAAACCATAAATAGAACTCACATTCTTATCGAGGCTAGCGATTAGATTTGTGGCGCTGTCAACGCGGCTACTTTTCTGGTGTCTGTTGATAAGGTGTCCCCTCAAAAATCACCCCCTTATATATATATATACCCAATATAAATTTTCCTTTTTTGGGGAAATCGAAATCGAAAAAAACATGGCTGAACCCGTTAACCCTGTCGCCGATTAGAATTCCCGCAGTCGCCGCCCCCAATCTTTATTGCCCCTTCTCCCAGATTTTTCGCTGATCACAGTTTCCTCGCC